ATATAATCTAAAATTTTCATTCACAAATTTTCTTCACTCAGCTTTCACGTACATTTTATTTGTCTTTGTCTTCGGGATTTAGATTGTGCAGTGTGCACAAATGTAAACTTTGAGCTTCTTCCATTTGCATTTAGATCAATTGTACGTGTGTTGTTGTTGAATAAAAGAATTCTCTCCCAGACACATCTCCCAAGGAAAATTTACCGTTTCCTGGTAGGTCACTAACACCCCACGTTTTCCAAGACTTTCTTTTTCTAATTAGTAAGTCAACTTTCAAAACCACCATTCGGATCGCGGGTTACATCGAGGTTCCACCCCTGATTTAGTGTCGGAAGATCTGTCGTCTTCCCCACCGGTAAGTTTCTCTGCTTCCTTCTCCTAACCGCCACTCAGCTGCAGCCGATAAAAGTCATATCCCACCCTCCTTTCTCTCAACATTCCCTGCGCACAATCTCGCTACCTCAAACTCTCCCACGATTCTGCGTTATCACTCCTTTTACCCTACTCAAGTTCCGTCACCCCCTGTGTAAAGATGGCTCGAAGACTCTCATATGCAGAAAAAAGAAAAGCCATTGCAACTCAACAAGACCATGCTCCACCACAGATGAGAATCAGAGCTCCGGATATCGACACTTCAGAACTCATAAAGGAGAACAACCTGACTCTCATCGGTTGCCTCACAAACCTCCAAGAACAGAGAATGAGATCCGTACTCTCCTTCTTCTCCAACAGATGGAGCGTCACAGGACAAGCTGAGGGATCTGACCTAGGCAACAACTGCTTCCAGATCCGCTTTGAAAACGAGGATGATTTTGAGAGAGCTCTTGAAAACAGACCTTACTAGTATGCTCGATGGATGATCATACTTCAACGCTGGGAACCTATCATCTCCCCACTATTTCCCTCCAAGATCCCTTTCTGGATAAACCTGCAAGGCCTCCCGCTCCACTACTGGAACAAAGACCTCATCGTCAGCATCGGGAAGGAACTGGGAGATTTTGAGGACTACGAAATCACCAGAACAACTGCAAGAGTAAAAATCTCCATTAACGGACTACAACCCATAATAATGGAAACAGTGATTGAGTTTGCAAGCGGGGAAGAGACCATCGTCACACTCGATTATTAAAGACTAGAAAGATATTGTTCCTGCTGCTTTAAACTAACCCACGACTCAAGACTGTGCCCGGAGGTTGCTACTCCTGCTTCACCCCAAGGAATAGAGAGATCTCGCTCGGATAGACCATCCCAGCTACTGCAAACAAAGGATCTCCACCAAGCTCCTGCAAACAAAGACTACCAGGAGAGAAGAGATAGGCACGGTCGACCCTTTGGTGAAAGACCATCCCAGCGAACACATGAAAATGCAACTAGGAGCTTCTCAGATAGAGGACTACCTACCTTCGAGAACATCCATCACCGACGCCAAGAGACAGCTACGTCGAGATCCCCCCCCCCCCCCCCCCCCCCCCCCCCCCCCCCCGGGCAGTCACAGAAGATCTCCCCTGCGATCCCAAGCTCAATCCAGAGAACCTGCTAACCCTGGACAATCTGACAATGCCCACCATTATTCTACAGCTATTAATCATCCATCGAGGACTGTGTGGCAACCAAAACAGCACCAATCGGCTCAAGTTACCTCACGCTCTGTTGAAAATGACAACATCATAGGAAGGAACCTCGACGCTGAGACTTTTCACCAGATGGAACTGAGCTCCACACACCAACATGCAACATAAGCTGTCCTTGAAGAGCTCCAGGAAGTCACAATCCGATACATTAATTGCGGGAATCCAGTGGAAAGTAAAGCTCGACGCAAAAGGGTACTAGAAAGCGAGGTCAATGGAATGGTGGCGTAAACAGCTGCCTTCCTTGTAGGAGCTCGATCCCCTTCTTTTCCAGTGCCACCACCAACTACTGCCATACAAAGTTCAACTACTCAAACAGTAATGGAGAATAACAGAGAGGACATAGCTGCAACAAATAATACTCTACCTCCTCTGGTGCCAAAACGAAGAGGCAGACCCCCAACTCAGCTGATAGCACATAGCTCACCCCTAAACCAAGGTGCTAGCTCAAGGAAGAGAATCCTACATAGATTCCAGAGCTCTCCAAGGATCACTAAACAACAAGAAAAACTTAAGAGAGCGAAGCTAGCAGCACATACCTCACGCAAGGAGAGCAATGCAACAAAGTCAAGACAGAGAGACAGTGACAACAACATAACTTCCCCAACGTCTCAGATGACCCCACAGAGAACAAACAAGACGGTGGATTTTCACGAACCACCAAATCCTCTTCCTTAGCGATAGTGAGCTAGAACTGTTGTGGTTTGGGAAATCCCACAATAGTTCGCAGACTAAGAGAGATATGTCGTACCATCTCCCCTGACATCTTATTCCTCTCCGAAACGAAGAACCCGGACACGGTCGTACTTGAGAAACTCAACAGCCTAGGTTTTTTATCACACAAACTAGTTACTCCTCACAGCCCGGGGGGGGGGGGGGGGGGGGGGGGGGGGGGGGGGACTATCACTGCTATGGAAGAACCACATCGAACTGAAAATCATCACACACAGCCAAAACCTCATAGACACCTACAACAAAGCAGAAGGAAAATCTTTCTTTGCAACCTTTGTTTATGGAGAACCGGAACAATAAAAAAGGAAGAAAATTTGGGAAAACCTCACAGTGTTAGCCTCCACAAGTGATGCACCTTGGATCCTCACGGGAGACTTTAATAAAATACTAGACCCCTCAGAAAAATCCGGGGGACCCCCGAGACCAGAAGGCTCCTTCTCGGACTTCAGAGCTTTCATGGCAGGATGCGACATGTATGACCTTCAATATACATGAGACTTCCTTTCCTGGAGAGGCCAAAGACACTCTCACTTCATACGATGCCGCCTGGATAGATCAATGGCTAACAGTCTATGGGCTGAAGAATACCCCTCGGGTAGAAGCACCTACCTCCGTTTTGAAGGGTCATACCACAGACCGATTGCCACATACTTTAGCCCCCTGAAAAAGAAGAAAAAGGGTATCTTCAGATATGATAGAAGGATCCTGAAGTCAATAAATTGATAGCAGAAGCATGGATCTCTGATGATTTCGAATCAGTTGACACAAAAATAAGCAGAAGCAGACAAGCAATCATCACCTGGTCTCGAGAAAAACAGAAAAACAGCCAAAAAACCATTGACGAATTACCGGTAAGACTGGAGGAAGCCTTAACAGACCCTTCCCCAAACACTGCTCTCATAGAAGACATTACTCGGAAACTTAACCTCACATATGAAGCAGAAGAAGCTTTTTGGAAACAACGCAGTCGTCAACTCTGGTTAGCCCTGGGGGATCAAAACACAGGCTACTTCCACGCTACAACAAAAACCAGACAAACAGTCAATAAGTTTGCTGTCATCGAGGATGAACAAGGGAACGTATTCTACGAGGAAACAAAGATTATTAAAGTAATTGTGGATTATTTTGATAAACTTTTCACCTCAAACGAAGGAGACAGAGTTTCTACAGTCCTGGAAGCTCTACAACCCCGGATAACGGCTGAGATGAATGAATCCCTGATAATATTTGTTTTTGCAAAACTTGCATTCAGACCTCCATGATCTTACTCCTACCAGTTTCTCATGTTTATTCACATAAATCCACAAAGGTGCCTTGTCATCCACGCTCTGTAAATCATCAGTATTCATATCATCTCCAACATGATGATCTTAAGATGTGCTTATATCTCTGAAAAATAAAATTTATGTTAAAGTAACAAACATTGTTGACAAGAGACATCAAAGCAATATCAATATAGAAATCAACTTTAGTTTATATTTAAAAAAATTAGATAAATTAATTTGAATTGAAAGAAGAAGTTTCCGAGTTTCCGACTCCATAGCTGTATATATCTACGACTTTAAAAATAATTTATCTTTTGCATGTATCTACTATCTATGTTTCAATGATCAAATCAAATCTATCTTAAGTTCTTAATTTAAAAAACAACATACCTTTTTTATGGCTTCAAACCTATAAATCTTTGACTTCGTCTCCTCTAAGTTCTAGCTTCTAAATTCTAATCGTTTTTTTTGCTTTTTTGGGTATGTAAATCGATTACAGAAAAATACATCTTACATCATAATTAGGTTTAAAAATTTTCAAAATAGCAAATATATCCTTATATTGAACAAGTTTCTAACAATGTTTCCAAATGGGATATACACGTTTTCGAATCGGAAACTTGCGATTCAAAGGCATTTCCAAATCGAGAATTTTAAGAAATGTGTTTCTGATGAGTATCTAAGCGTTTCTGATTCCGAAACACTTCTAATATGAAAATTAAAGCTTTATTAGAGTTTTCGTGCATCATAGCATTTTTTATTACATAATGTTATTTTTTTATTTCAAATATGGAATCATCTTATTTTAAATTCCATTTTGCAAATTAAACTTTTTTTATTTATAAACTAACCCATCTTATTCAATATTGTACATCCATCTAGCACATTCACATTGCATATATACCATGCGCATCTATCTTGGTCATCTACCATGCACATCCATCTCGGTCATTCATCATATGCATCTATCTCGGTCATCCACCATGCGCATCTATCTAATTCATCTACTTCAAAGATCCATTTAATCCATCGTGCATCCAACTTACTTTCACTCCTTCTCATTTCTTCTCATATTGCTCACCTCATTCATTACTAATATCCATAGTGAACATACTTGATTCATCAAACACATGTATTGCTAGCTATCTTAACTGATACGGTTCAATCCTATATGTTGCAGGATCTAACCATAATCTATAGTGGAATACTCGTTTACCAAAATCCACATAAGTAGATGTGGAATGTAAATCAAAAACTATCCCACATACCTCACCTCTCGGTTTCACCGCCTATGCTTCTCCTGAATATCAACTATCACAATTGTCAAATTTAAAATTTTTTATTAAAAGCAAAATAGACTGAATAGTGAACCAAAATGCTTTGGTTCTTTTAAATATTTTATTTTGCGATTACTTTTAGATATATCTTCTTTAAAATATATTTTAAGAAAAAATATCATTATCATTAATATATTAATTCTTTTTAAAAGTTTTTACCATTTGAAGAAATATATCCCATATTTTAATTGTTAAACCTATGTGCCAAACTACCAATTGTTTTATCTTAAACACATTAATAAAATGATCAAAAAAGTTCTAGGGTTATTATAGTAGGATCTCAAAACGTACGGGGCAAATTAACGAGAGAAAGAAAGATAAGGTCCCATATCTAGACCAAAAAGAGGAATAAACAGCGCCTCCTCTTAAGTCTCTTACCCTATCTAGACACAAAAACCCTTTTAATCTCTTCTGTTTTCCCCATTTCTCATAGATCTAAAAAAACACCATTTCTTTTGTCTGTAAACCCTATATAAATCTCATTCTCTTCTTCTCCTTCTTCACCATCCCCTTCTCAGATCTGTCCTCTACTATACTTCAATTCTAAAGAGAAAGACCCTACCTTTCTCCTCTCCTCCTTCACTTTCTCAAACCAGTTTATCCAAGGAAGATTCTTCGGATTCGACCCAGATCTTGTTTTGCTTTTTTCTCTGAGCTTGAATAGTGTCAATAATGGCGACTCCTTATCCTGGAGCGATGCAGGCGAGTTTCATTCCAGAAAAAAAAATTTGATATTTTTATTCCTTAATTCGCTGTTACGGGTTTTGCTTAAGTAGCTGAATCGGTGTGTGTGTGTGTGCAGGTGGGTTCGTACTTTGTGGGACAGTACTATCAAGTGTTGCAGCAGCAGCCAGATCTTATTCATCAGTTTTACTCCGAGAGTAGTAAAGCGATCCGTATCGATGGTGGTTCGAGCGAGACTGCTAACACTTTACTGGTACGGATCCAATGCAAAAGTCTCTTCCTTTTTGATGATTTTAAGGCTACAAAGTGAAAAAAAAAACCCCTTTTTGTTTCGATTCGTAAAGATTTGTGCTTTTAACTTGAATTATGAAGGAATCAAAAAGTCTCTGTTTTTTTTGTAGCATATTCACAACATGATCATGTCATTGAATTTCACTGCGATCGAAGTGAAGACGATCAATTCGAGTGAGTCATGGGAAGGTGGTGTGCTCGTGGCGGTCTCTGGCTCTGTGATTACCAGAGAGTTCAGCAACAGGAGGAGTTTCGTGCAGACTTTCTTCCTTGCTCCTCAGGAGAAGGGCTATTTCGTTCACAATGATATATTTCAGTTTGTTGATGAAGGAACTGTCTTCTATCATCAACCTTCTTATTTATCTGAATCCAAGCATGAGCAGGCTCAGCTTAATCCTCCAAGCCCTCCTCATCATGAGCCCCAAGGTTTGTTTGCAAAGTCTTGAAATGAGTTAATTATAGAAAGCTGATATGAACTTTTGCTCACGTAAGAGATGGGTTTATGCATATTTAAGTCTTGGAGGTTGTACCTTATTGTTTTGATTTTTCAGTTCCTGACTATGTTCTGGAGCAAGAGGCGAGAGATTATGTGAGTGCGGTCCAAATCAAAGATGATCTTGTAGATAAGTACAGTCTGCAAGAGGAACAGCATCATCAACCTCAGCATGAAGAGTATGAGGATGAAGTAGCGGTTGAGGAAGCACCTAGGGAGGAAGTTGTGGTTGATGTGGTACATGAGCCTCGGTCTGTGCAAGCAGAGGAACCCGTTGGTGAAAAATCGAAGATGAGTTACGCTTCCATTGTAAGTACACACTCTCTATTGAGTAATTTTTGTGTATTAGTAACCAAAATAACACATCTATTGAGGGTAACAATCACCATGGAAGCACATATCTTGCTGTGGCCATGAGTAGTTTTTCAGCATAGTAACCAAATAACATGTCTGTTGGAATATAAATCACCATGGAAGCACATATCTTGTTGTGTTCGTTCATCTTTGTGTCAAGGAAGCCACTCAGAATAGACTGTAGGCTCTCATTGTACTGTACTTTGGCTTTGTCTCAGTTAGGTTAAAGAAACCTTTCTTTTTTTCCTAATTGGAGATGTTCTGTTTTCTCATTTCATCAGTTACGAGTTGCAAAAGAAGCTGCTGCTGTGCCTGTGCCTGTAGCTGCAACACAACCATTATATAACAAGAACTCTCAAGATCTTAATGAGTGGGATCAACCACTGCAGACTCCTTCCCCTCAGGTGGCTGCGCCTCAGCAACCAAACGCTTCTTCTCCGTATGTTACTGACTATGGAGCAGAAGCAGATGATGGCTTCGGATTTGAAGACTGTAAGTTGTTCTATACTTTGAGCCAGTAAAATTTCTCGAACTTGGTTATATACTAGTCTAGGATGTGTTGGTATTTGATCGTTTAATGGAGATATTCATTTTATTGGTTTACCTTTTGTTGCAGTTGAGATCAAATCAGTGTACGTTAGGAACCTGCCTTCCAACATATCTGCTTCTGAAATCGAGGATGAGTTTAAGAACTTTGGCACAATCAAGCCTGATGGTGTTTTCCTCAGAACACGCAAGGTTTAATATTCTTCACTTCACTTGTTTTTGTTCTTGAAAGTTTATAGAAGAACCAAAGCTAACAATCTTCATTCAAACCACGCAGGATGTTATTGGCGTTTGCTATGCTTTTGTTGAGTATGAGGACATGACTTCCGTCGAGAATGCTATTAAGGTCTAGATTCTTTTTTTTCCACAATCACCACTACGTAACTCCTCGCTAGATTTATAACTTTCTTCTTCTGTTTCCATTACGGTTTGTTCTTATCAGTTTTTCCTTCTGTGTCACAAACAGGCTTCTCCTATATACTTAGGAGGAAGACAAGTATACGTTGAGGAACGAAGACCAAATCCCGCTGGTGTTCGCGGAGCAAGTAAGTCTTTGTTTTGTGCTTAAAACACTTTCTTGATTCTAAAATTTGTTGAGTTTCTTGTATGTTTTGTTGGATATGTAAACTCACTTTGATTTTGATTTCTGGTTGTAACAGGACGAGGAGGAGGAGTAGGAGGACGGGGAAGAGGCGGTTACCCAACGGAAGCCACAAGAGGCCGGTTTGGTTCACGTGTAACCGGGAGAGGAAACCAGGAAGGAGGTGATTACAGGCCAAGAGGCAATGGTTACTACCGTGGTGCTGGCCGCTAAGGGAAGAAGAAAAGAAAAAGCTCTGCTGAATCTCTTCTATAAGTTTTAGGGGAAATTATAGAATGAATGATTCAGAGGTTCCTTCTTATCTACTCAAGAAGTAGTTTGTAATTTTTATTTTTGTTTGGTTTGGCTTTTGGTTAAAAAGAAACAAAGATTTTGATTTTATATATGTTTTCTTCTTTTTGATTTGTTTTAGGTTTTAGTGCTTTGATTTTCTCTTACCACCCATTCCTTTGAGAATCCGGGTTTAGTTATGTAACATTTCCATTCTTTGTTTTTTCCCTTTAATCAATGGTTTGAATTCGAAACTTCAATGTTTTGTGTTCTGTTTCTTTCTGATCTTTTAAACTCTTTGGTCTCATAAATGTGAAACGTAAATTACAGTTCCACAGAAACCATTTCGTATTTTTTTTAATAATGATAAAAAGCATAATTTTTTTTTTTTCACATTAAAAACTTTAAGATAATCATGGATCAAGTCGCAAGTTCGAAACTACTGTACATAATTAATGTTCTCTTTGTTTTTCTTAAAACACAAAGGTAAGATTCTTATGCGTCAAGGTAGCTTTGTGGTGCGATCGTTGCTTATCGATACTGTCACACACATATATCGTTGTTTAAATTTTCTTGAAAACAAAAATTGTTTCCAAATTCATCTCTTTGTTTTCTGGGTTTTCTTGATTTTTGTGTGGGAGGAATAAGAATTATCACCCCCCCAAAAAAAAGAAAAATCGAAAAATCTCGACGATTCAAGAATTGTGACCCTACAAGCTTTGATATTTGTCGGTTTGATTAATTATGGTTTCCCGAATCATCGGATGATCCAAAGAGAAAGAAAGAGAGAGGAATGTTTGGGTGCAAATGTCTCTATTGGAACAATCTCAGAGAGTTTCCGCCATTAAAGGAACCTGAAACCTTCTCCCTCCCAGTTTCTCTTCCCCAGTGGCCTTCAGGTAATAATAACATAATACGATTCCACTCGAATCTCGTTCGTAATCTTCAGTATCTACCTTCTTCAATTCCGATCCGAAAAGAATCAAAAATTAGTTTTTTACCCCAAAAATTTCTGGATTTAGTTATTTAGTTCCGATTTGATCTGATCCAAATCCACGAAGAATTTATTTCAGATATTCATATGCTTTGAATTGAATCAGGTCAAGGCTTTGCTTCATCAAGAATCAAACTATGCCCCGAATTAGAAGTAGCAGAGATCACAACTTTCGAATTCATATGGAGATACGTCTCTCCTCGAGACAAGAACAAGAGTGCTTCTTTCTACAAACCAGACAGAACACCAGACGGCTTCCACTGTTTAGGTCACTACTCTCAGTCTGATTCTCACCTCTTGAGAGGCTTCCTTCTCGTAGCAAGAGAACTCGTTGTCGATTCTCAAGAAGCTGCACTTGTGAAACCGCTTGATTACACATTGGTCTGGACCTCAAACGACTTATCCGAACAAGAACATAAGCACGGCGAACACGGTTACTTCTGGCTACCGCAGCCTCCTCGAGGGTATAAACCAATCGGATTCTTGGTCACAACGAGCTCTTCGAAGCCTGAGTTGGATCAAGTGAGATGCGTTCGTGCTGATCTAACCGATAAATGCGAACCACATAGAGTCATTGTCACAGCTGTATCTGATTCTTTAAGCGTTCCTCTGTTTATATGGAAGACGAGACCTTCGGATCGTGGAATGTGGGGGAAAGGAGTCTCTGTAGGTACATTCCACTGCGCGATCGCAACACAAGATCAAGATCAAGAACAAGAAGATCTTGCGTGTTTGAAAAGCCTCGATTCGAGCTTACACGCGATGCCGAACATCGAACAAATCCATGCTTTGGTTCAACATTACGGTCCGAGAGTGTTCTTCCATCCTGATGAAGTTTACTTGCCTTCTTCAGTGTCATGGTTCTTCAAGAACGGTGCGGTTTTGTGCAGTTCAGATTCGGAGTTTCATGAGCCTGTTGATGAGAATGGTAACAATCTGCCTCATGGAGGAAGCAATGATAAACAGTTTTGGATCGATTTGCCAAGAAACGATGAAGAAAAGTGCAGGTTTCTCAAGCGTGGAGATATCGCAAACGCGAAGCTATACGTTCACGTTAAGCCGGCGTTTGGAGGAACGTTTACGGATTTAGCGTTTTGGATCTTCTGTCCTTTTAACGGACCTGCGACTCTGAAGCTAGGGATCGTGAATCTCCCGCTGGTTAAAACCGGTCAACACGTTTGCGATTGGGAACATTTCACTCTCCGTGTAAGCAATTTCTCCGGCGAGCTTTACGCCGTTTACTTCTCTCAGCATAGCGGCGGAGAGTGGATCGAAGCTCAGGATCTGGAGTTCGTCGAAGGGAGCAATAGAGCTGTGGTTTACTCGTCCAAGCATGGTCACGCGAGCTTTGCTAGGTCTGGGCTGTATCTACAGGGATCGGATTTGCTTGGGATTGGGATAAGGAACGATACGGCGAGGAGCGATTTGTTTGTTGATTCGAGTTCTAAGTATGAGATTGTGGCGGCGGAGTATCTTGGAGAAGCGGTGGTGGAGCCGCCGTGGCTGGGTTATATGAGAGAGTGGGGGCCGAAGATTGTGTATGGATCGAGAACGGAGATTGAGAGGTTGAACGAGAGATTGCCGTGGAGGATGAGGTGTTGGGTTAATGCGGTGTTGAGGAAGCTCCCGGTGGAATTATCCGGCGAGGAAGGACCAACGGGACCGAAGGAGAAGAATAATTGGTTCGGTGATGAGAGATGGTGATTATTTTCCCGATTGGATTTGTTGTAATGGGCTTATAAATATCTGAAATATGGGCCTGGAATTTTGTATTTATTAGGCCCATATATTATTAACACGCTAAAACCGAATCGTGAGTCCTACGTTTCCTGTTCTTCCTTCTCCCCATCTGTGACGAAACTTTGTTCTTATGATCAGTGAAGAAGGGACAACTATTTTAAAGTTTAGACTCACATTCAATTGCCAAATATAGTTAAACCTATTCTATAAAATAATATTTGACAAATTGATATTTGACAAAGTTGATAAATTTTGCTTTTTTGAACCAGATCAATGTAAAAATTAATAAAACTCGATAAGGTAATATTTTTTTAAAAATCCTACAAATACCTTCAAACCGAAAAGTTTAAACGGAGCAAACCAAAATTAATCGAAATATGAAATAGATGCAAATGCAGATATGTTTTGTAGGAGTGTTGTTTAAGATGCTAATGATGCTAATCAGTCTTTTAATTATACTTTATTGACGCATAAAGACAGACGCACACACGTTTCTTGAGTCCGTTGCTCAGCAAATTGTCATTACCCACAAAAGTCACAAAACACATGATGAAGCAGAGAGAGAGAGAAGATAAAACCCATTGGTGTATCATTCGCTGGTACTGAGGACACAACGAAGGCAAGTACCTTCGTGCAACAGATCAAAAGCCTTATTGATATCTCCCAAGGTCATGTTGTGCGTTATGTATTCATCCACTTTTATCTCCTGCATCGTTCGGAATTTTCACGCAACAGTCAAGTGTTTGAAGAGAAGGATAACAACAACAACATAGAATCTTCTGCTTAAGTTATCTAACCTTGTTCATATACTTTTCTACAAGCCAAGGCACTTGGGTTCGACTCTTGAAACCACCAAAAGCTGTTCCTTTCCACACACGACCAGTCACGAGCTGGAACGGCCGTGTTGATATCTCTTGTCCTGATGCTGCAACACCAACTATCACTGATGTTCCCCATCCCTGCAACGTCTTTAACTCTTGAGCACATCCTCTTATAACATGATTTCATTTTTCAATTTCAGATTCATGGATGAGTTTACCTTGTGACAGCACTCCAACGCGGCTCTCATCACGGAGACATTCCCGATACACTCAAAGCTGTAGTCAACACCACCATCAGTGAGTTCAACAATCACTTCCTGGATTGGCTTCTTGTGGTCCTTTGGGTTCACAAACTCGTTAACACCAAACTTCTTTGCTGAAAATCCCAACCAAGGAACTCAAATTCAATGAACTGTATTCGTAAAACTCCATAATATTTCCAAAATCACTATAACCAAGCCAGTGAATAAAGATAAGAAGATATACCAGTTTCGTACTTCTTGCTGTCGATATCAATGCCAATGATCCTTGTAGCCCCAGCTGTTTTCGCACCTTCGGCAACCTATCACCATCGACAATTTTAAAACTCGTTAAGCGCCATGTTCTCTTCCTTGCAGAAGAAAGGAATTATGTAAGCTTTAGAAAGGCAGTAGCTTACAGCAAGTCCCACAGTTCCAAGACCAAAAATGGCAACATTTGAACCTGGTTCTACTTTTGCAGTATTCCAAACTGCTCCAAGGCCTAATAGGATCAAGATACATGATATACTGTTAGGGACCATAAAGTTCAACATCATCAAAAACTCACAAAGAAAGACAAAAAGATCAATTTTGTCAGTGATGTTCCATTGATAAACAGTCTAAAATGACCTTATAGCAAAGTACCTAAGCGGTGAGAAAAATTAAAACAAAGATCCAAGAAAAGGAGTAACAAAGACTGCACTTAACTAAAAATTGAATTCTTACCAGTGGGAACACCACAACCAAGAAGGCACACTTTCTCCAAGGGAGCCTTGGGATCGATCTTGGCGACGCTAACATCATGAACCACAGTATACTGACTAAACGTGGAGGTCCCCATGAAGTGATAGATCGGTTTTCCGTTAACCGAGAACCGGCTCTTGCGGTCGTTCATCATAACCCCAACACCAGTAGCAGATCGAACCTTGCCACAGAGGTTAGTCTTTCCCGATTTGCAGAACTTGCATTCACGGCACTCAGCTTGATAACATGGGATAACATGGTCTCCAGGTTGAACTTCAGTTACTCCTTCACCAACACTCTCAACAATCCTGTGCCCAGAAGAAGAAAAAACAATCCAAAGATCTTCACAACCATTCACGAGAGATGTCAATAACAATGGAAAGCTGAAAGTAGATTTGATGATTTAATGAACATACCCAGCAGCCTCATGACCGAGAATACACGGAAAGAGACCTTCAGGATCCTGCATCCATACGAAAACAATCAAACACTTGGACTCTATCTATGAATCAAAATCTAATGACTCGCAAATCAGCAGCAATCAGGAAAATTCCGATAAATCGACTAAAATCTACCGATCAGTATCAAAAAACACACACTGTATCAGATGAAATTGGAGAGACGCGTTTATGATTTTAAACCTTGCCGCTCCAAGTGTAGGCGTCGGTGTGACAGAGAGCGGTGTAGAGGATCTTGATCCGAACCTCACCGGCCTGAGGTGGAGCCACCTGCACATCTTCGATGACGAGTGGTTTGTTCGGCTCGTAAGCCACCGCAGCTATCGAAATCCGACTCAAAAAAGAGAAACAGGAATCAGAAAATCAAAATCGTGGACAAGGGATTCAAACATTCCGAGAAATCGCGTATCCAGATAGAGAAACACACAAAATATTTCCCGAATAAATCAAAGACGGAGAGGCAGTGAGAGTAGGAGGATCGAGGCTAAACCGTACCTTTGCATGTGATAACTTGACCTTGAGTCGCCATTGACGCAGGAAGAAAATCAGAGGATAGAGAGAGGAGTGGCGAGGGAAAGTGAAAGGCACTGTGGTGTGTCGTTTCTTCTTTTTCTTCTAATGGCCAGAAATGTAGGTAACCGGGTCGGGTCGGGTCGTTAATAATCGAGTCAGAAAAGTCCGATTTGAAAGTAGGCCCGAGATGCATCATATCATACGCTTTGGTCCAATATAGCGACATTACAATAAAAAGGGATAAAAGAGGGACCAATTCGCAAAATAAAGAAAACATGACCGGCGTTATAAATCAATCAATTATTAAAAAAATGTTTTTATTTACATTTTAAAATTTTATATATATTTTTATTTTTTATCAGTTATAAAAATTTTAAAAATGACCCAAACGGAGCAAAACATATCAAGATACCAACAAAATTTAGGATAATGCTGACCACCTAATAGGCTACCTTAAACACGCACGTTTCTTTTATTGGCCAAAACTGGTTTGGTTTCATTCATCTCTCGATTCCGGTTATACAAAAACGACAGCATACCAAAACTCAAAAAGCAAAGGAAATGAAACAAAAGAAAATTACAATAATCTATACTAAATGAAAACAATTGTTTGGAGCTCCTAAAACCATCTACATTAAATTTTTAAAACTATGTTCTCCTTTTCTCACATCAGCAAGAAAACATTAATAAAAAAACTCACTTTAGTTTTTTTTTAAACACACATAAAATAAATAAATAGAACCACAAAAACTATTATAGTTAATTAACAAAAACTAAATAAAATTAAATATCATTTTTGAATCAGTAAAATAAATATTATTTAAATCTATAATATTAATATATAATTTTTTCTAATATAATGAATATTTTGGAAAAGAAATTACTCCAAAAACTTAAATAATAGCTAATAGATAAAAGATTACAAAATAATAATTTCTAAAAGAAAAATTAAACATTCACAATTTAGAAAAATCTAAAACATTCATCTATTGGAAACATAAAGATTATATACATAACAAATAAATAAATAAAATTTTGAAATTAACACTACTGTATTTCACATACGTGGATACAAAATTATCTATTGTCTCTACAAAGATAAACTTATACGACTTTATGAATACATTACTTATTACAAAAATTTATACAATACATTTACAGAAAAATGGGCTACCATAACTCTATTTTAAATATTAATATATTATATTTCTATATTTAAAATATAGCATACAACTTTTTATCATACGACTTTATGATATTGATTTTGTATACTATGTAAATGTTATTTTTATTTATATAATATATATTATTAATTTAATTATAAAAGTTCATCAATATATATGTGTAGTATAAAAAAAATATGTAACTTAAATTACAAGTCAAATGCAAATGAACCTTTTAAACCTTCTGAGTTTTTAGAAACTCAACATACTTTATTTAAAAAATGAGTTAGTATGAAATTGTATTTGTATATGTTTTACTTGTTTTATTCATCTATACTTCTATAGTTTACAGATGCTTCAGAGACCAAATCAAAATTGCAGTTTATCAATATGATAGTGATTTTTTATACTATGTAAATATTATTTTTATTTATATAAACAATAGTTATTTTACGGATTTATAAGAGTTTGGAATATTGATTGTTATTTTGTATTTGTGACTATTAATAAAATAAAAACACTATACAAACACAATAATCAGGTGCTTTAGTTGTACTAATATATTTGATAAGTTATTTTATTTCTATTTAAATAGAAAAATGAAAAATTGTTTTTAAATTAAATAAAAAGAAAATTTATAGTTGTTGAGTTCAAATTATATATCAAATTTAATTAAAACAAAAATAATTTTTATAATATTTAAAAAATTGGTGAACAACAATGAATTTATATACAGATAATAAGTTTTAGCTTAACAATTAATTTTTACTTACATCAAGTTAGTAAAATCTTAAATTAAATCATAATATATTTTTGATGTATAACCACATCAAAATAACATTTAAAATCAAATTTTATATTTAAAATTAAAATAATAATTAAATAATTATAAAAATAATCCGCCCGTAGCGCGGAAATATTCCTAGTCAATACAACAATAACACTAAGTCTCTCCATAAGATGACACATCAGCTTTTTGAGCTTTTTAAAGTTGACACATCAGCAAAAAAAAACTCCAATCAAAACATTTTATTAATATACATCATCTACTAATTTTTATTATTTTTAACTTAAACCCATTAAAAACCCCAAAAATTTTCCTTTGTTAATTTTTGTTTTATTTTTTGTCAAACCCAAGCCCAAATAATAAATAACAGCAAATAAATTTTTATTTTTATTTTTTACCATCCCCAAATCCAAATAATAAATTACAACAAAATAATTTTTTGTTTTATATTTGTGCCAAACCGAAACTCAAATAATAAATAACAGCAAAAAAAAAATTAATTTTTAACTATGTGTTTGCTTGATAGAGACATATATGACTGAAGAAAGTGTAGACTCATTATCAGCTATACTTCCATAACAACAACGCAAAAAGCGTTATGTTATAAGAAGTTCACACATCAGCAAAAATTTGAACCAATAAAAACATAACAATAATACATATCATTAACATATTAATAAAATCAGTTTACTATTTTGTTGACCCATTAAAAAGCTCAAAGTTAACAAAAAAAATTAAAGTCGAAAGCAAATGAGGAGAAGCTCAAACCACCACAACTTGGAGTTTCGCATTTCTGGTGGTTATCGAGAATAATTTTTTTTGGATTTTGGCGGGAATAGCAAATTTCTTGGTTTCGGTAAAAAAATGTGATTTTCAGTTTTGGTAGAAAAACATAATTTTTCGGTTATGCCGAAAAAAATGAATTATCGGGTTTGGCGGAAAAATGTGAATTTTTGGTTTTGATGATAAAAAAAATTGATTTTGACGCGAAAACAAAATATCTTAGTTTTGACGAGAAAATGCGAGAGAAATGCAATTTTTCAATTTTGAAGAAAAATACGATTTCTCGGTTTTGATAGAAAATGCACATTTTCGGCTTTTGATGGATAATGTGATTTCTTGATTTTCGCGGGAAAAATGTGATTTCTTAGTTTCGCGGGAAATTGTAATTTGACAATTTTGGCGGAAAATGCAATTTCTCGGTTTGATGGGAAAACAAAATTTCTCGATTTTGACAGGAATAAATAATTTTTCGGTTTTGATGGGAAATGCAAATTTTCACTTTTTTGACATATAATGTGATTTTTTTGGTTTTCGCGGAAAAATGTAATTTTTTAGTTTTCGCGAAGAACGCTATTTCTCAGGAGATAATGCAATTTTTGGTTTTCGTGAGAAATTGTGGTTTTTCGGTTTTGGTAAGAAGGCGTGATTCTTGGATTGACGAAAAAAATATATTTTTTTTGTTTTGGCGGGAATAGACGGTTTCTCGATTTTTGCGGGAAAATAATTTTTTCGGTTTTGACGAGAAAATACGATTTTTTTTTTTTTTGCAGGAAGATGAAATTTTTTGGTTTTGGTGAAAAAACTTGATTTCTCTGTTTTTGCGTGAAAACACATGTTCTCGCAAGAAAATGTGATTTTTTGGTTTTTACGGAAAAATACAATTTCTTTGTTTTGGGAGTAAAATAAAATTTCAGGTTTGACGAGAAAATGATTTTGTTTTTGTTTTGGCGGGAATACACGATTTTTCAGTTTCGTGGGAAAATGTATCTTTTTGTTTTGTCGAAAAATGCAATTTCTCAGTTTTTGTAAAAAGATAAAATTTCTATGTGATAAATTTTCAAGCTACAATATGTTTATAGTAACCAAAATTGAATTATTTAACTTTAACTAAATTAATATTTCAACAGTTCAAACATAACTTTCTATTTAGTTTTTTCTTTTTTTGACGTTATTTTTTATTTAGTTCTAAAACAATAGCAATAGTTTTGATATGAATGTTATTGATTATAGTTTGGTAGTTTTAGAAACATATGTTTATAACAAATATTTGATAAATAAATAAGTTTTATAATTTAAAATAATCATATTAATTAATAATTGTTTTTCTTAAATGACAATTTGCTTTATATAATTTCAAAGGAGGATTAAGTGGTAATTTAATAGAGAAAATAAATTACATTAGCCATTAGTATAAAGATATTTAAAAATGTATTATTTTATTCTTACATATACATTTATAGATAGTTAGCTAAACAATTTTGATAATAGATTATAATTTTAAAAAATAAAAAATTAAGAATATATAATGTTTATTCAGATTTAAAACATATAAATATCTAACTTAAGCTAATAAAAAATAAAATAAAATATTTATTTACATTATAAAATAATTTTATTATATTAAAAATATATATAAAATCTAAAAAAATATACTGCAGCGTAGCACGGGTAAATACGTAGTACATTTTAATCAATCAAACAAAAGAGAAATGACATTTATTCTTCGTCATTTAAAGTCAAACAAGACATAGAACAAAGTTTAATGTTTTCGGAGTACTGGAAAACTACTTTCCCTTGACAACGAACTCCATGATTATGGCAAAACGGTCGAGTCATAGTATTGTTACGAAGAACAAGAGCATCCCCTTGAATAACCGTTATGGTCTGGCCAGGTTTCATATACGGATCTTTCCCAAGCAAACAATGAACATGGACAGTGGTGCAACAGCCTTCATCATCACACGCATAGAACCCTCCTTTTTGCGAATACACTATTGTTCTTTCGCATACCTCACACCATCCTGATTCATGATCATTTGCATCTTTCACTTTCGTAAACGTGAGGAAATGTTTATCATGTTTATAACTTGCCTTGTACGGTAACGTAGCACACCTAAAACATATAATATAATCGCATTCGATGCAATTTAGTTTCTTGCACTGGTTATCTCCATCGCCGTCTTCTTGGCAGATTTGACAAATTGACATTTCTTCTTCTTCTGGACTTAAAGCTAGGAACAAAGGATGCTCATGGCCTTGATATTCAAATGGTTCAGAAACCGAGGCACATCTTAGGTCAAGTCTAAAACCGAAAAAACTTCCAACGAAATCCTCATAGTCGAAACCACAACTGTAACGCCGACAAGCGTTACAAAAGAAGAGACCTTTGGTGTTATTGAATCCATTAGCAACAATCTCTAGCGTAAGTGAGTGAGCATGCAAAGGATGATGTTTCTTGAGAGGAGAACTTGCACATGCTTCATGAAGGATGAAGTCACAATGATCCTCCATACACGAATAATAATTACCTTCCTAGATTGGGAGAACGCATGCTTGACATAACTTTTCATCGTCGTAAACTCTACTGATCTCGAGTTTAAGATTATGGCTATGAGAGAAATGGAGTATGATTCCATCAGCTATCATCTTAAATGGCTCCACAACTATCTCAGGTACTTCAGGTACTCCCTCAAGCTCTTCCCCATCCCACAAATCTCCACGCAAAGCGCATCTTGAATGAACAAAGTAATGGTCATCACACTTGTTGCAAGAGTAGGCGCCACAATTGTTGTCAACCTTTCGACGACAGACTCCACATGACAATTCTACAGATGGAAGAGAGTAAGTAAAAGAGATACGGTGAGGGTGTCGAGATATTCTTATGACATAAGGGAAATAAACACAATCTTGATGGACTACAAAGACACATCTTGCACAAACATAGGTGGGGATAAACTCTTTGATCACGCCACAAACATTGCATGCTAATGAATTCTGTTTGGGGAAAAAAGTGAGAGAGTGGGGATGTCTTTTTAGGTGGTCTATGAAAATGGGTATTGGCTTCATTGCACAAACCGGATGCATACTTAAGTTGTAAGTAGGACAATGATATAACATGTCATAGAGCCACTCTTCACAAAATATGCATTCCCAACGGTCATTAAGAGAAGTGAGAGGAGTGTAAAGTTTAAGAGAAGTAAAGGGATATGTAGGGTGTTTTATTTCAAGTGGAGACTCTACACATTCTTTGTGAAACTTTTGATCACATGTGACACACAAATAATAGCCTGTGCCAGACTCTTTGCTTTTGCATGCAGGGCATTCAGAAGAGTGATCGTTATGATCATTAGGTCCTTCATTGCACCAAAAGAGAGGGACGACAGGGAACTTACATATATCTTTGTTTCTGTGGGAATCAAGAAAATCTTGGACTTGTTCATTGGCGTTTCTTATGCTGGGGAAGTGAGGGAAAACATCCAACGGGAGAACTTTTTTTTTGTCGTCGTCGTCCTCCTCCTCGTCACTGTCACTGTCACTGTCACTGTCATCATCGTCGTCATCCTCATCATCGTCATTGTCATCGTCGTTAGAATAGCGACTCTCCTTTCTTTTTGACTTTGTAACTTTTAGACGTAAAGTAGGACAGAAGAAAAGAGGGACGTCGTTGTCGCCACCGGAGTCAATATTGGCTGCTTCACCAGAGGAGGAGGAAGAGGTTTGAGATAAGAAATTGTATATGTGAAATGGTTTTCCATCGATTTCTTCCTCAAGAAATACACCGATGGAACTCATTGTTGATACTGAGATGATTTGGGTAGTTGTGGTTATATTCTTCTTCTTCTTCTCCAACTTTCTCTTTCATATATGAACTTAAAAATACAGCTAAGCTTGATCTAGATGTTTGTAATTATAAATATATAAATTATTATTTATAATTATTCTTTTGGTTACATTCTTTTTATATTCTTTCTTACAGAAAATTAATTAATCATTATCTCTGGTTCTTAGTCTGTTAGTCTTTGTGTATTGGTATGTAATTTGTTATCTCCTCTCTGTATTATCCCATCTGTTCCTTTTTATGAAATTTTTAAGCTACGAACGCAAATTTTAAGAAACTACTCAAATTGTATGTTTTTGTATATTTTTTTCCATTAAAATAGTATTTGATATCTAATTGAACATAATTTAACCAATGATAAAATATATGTTTTAATTTTGTAAATAGATTAAAGGAAAAATTGAGGAAATAGTCCAAATTAATTACAAAATTAAAGATTCGGAACCAATAATTGATAATTAGGTCGATACATAATATATATAGAAATTATGACTATTTTGTTTTTATAATTATTTAATTCGGTTTTAGTGGATAACAATTTAATTACCATACTAACTAATATGATATTGTGATAACTGTGTTAACTACGCTAACTAATATGATACTCTATTAGAACATTGAAATAAATAACATGTTAACACAATAATTATCATGTTAACTATGTTATCATGCTAATTAATATGATGTTCGATTAGCACATTATACAAATATCAAGTTAACATGATAACTATTATGTTAACGTTGTTAACTGTATAAGTTATACAAAATTATCATGTTAACAATGTTATCATATCAACAAATTATCGTATTAACGTTGATATCACAATCTTTCACCCACCGACTATCACCGTCACCGGCTATCCCAACACCACCCCATCATCAATCACTACCACCACCACCACCGCTGGTAACTCCATCACCACCACCACCGGTGTCTCCATCACCACCACTACCGACAACACTTTCGCCATCACCGACCATCGCCAACATCGCCATCAACACCACCCCATCGTCGACCATCACCGCCACCACCACCACCGTCACCACCACCACCATCACAACCGCCGACAATTCCATCAACACCATCGACCACCACTACTGTCATCCACCACCAACAACTGCCACCATTGATAACATCGTCACTTCACCCATCTCTTTCCTTTCGATCTTCTTCTTTTTTCTTTTTCTTTTTTTCTTTTTTTTTCTTACAAATGAATAAGGATACAATAGTCTTTTTAATAGAAACAGTAGATATAAAAAGTTGTCAGTTTCTGTCGAAAGCTGTCGATTAATTTTGATATTAACTTGGGCCATTCCTTACAATTTCCCTAGATTAAACAAAACTTTACTAATCTACTAACTATTAGTTATTTCGTTATTTAATTCTTTTACCATTTTGTTTTACTTAATTTAGGTTTTTTTTTTCAATTGGTATTGATGTTTGCATGTATTATAATCGTATTCCCTACTCTCTCACATGTTCTATGAAACATAAGGAAATCGTATAATATGTTTAGAAATTGTCAAACAAAAAACATGTAGTTAACAAACTACCTTATTTAGATGACGTTGTTCAAAACAAAAATATTTTTAGATGGCAAAAAAAAAAAACCCCACCATATCTTATTCCAAGTGGTGGCTTGAAAGTCAAAAGAGCACATGGGTTTAGAGTTTAGACGGACGTGAAAGGCACAATAAGCTGATGTGGTAACAGCACGATGCCAAGATTCGCCGGTGGACTGTCCGATCATGAGGATAATAGCGATAGCCAGCCGATCTTGAAGGCTCAAAAATAAAATAAAAACATAGCTTTAGGAATTTGATTATTGATTTGGTATATTTTTACTTACGACCATTGCATGACTTTTTTTGATAAACTTCACTCCCTTAAACATCACAATGTTGCATAATGAATATTGTTAGTGATGGGTTTAGCACATTTTACTAAAAGCCCTTCGTAAATTAAGAAAAAGGTTCATTTGAAACCCTATCTTTGCTTCCAGGGTTAGGTCGGTTTTGAAATATGAAAATATTCCGATATTCATTCAAATTGCAGAAGAAAAAGAAACTATATCTCGAGAAGAAAGAAAATTATCCTTATTCCGGATGAGAAGGATTCGACTCAAAGCGATCTACGACATCTATATAAGGAGAGCCTCCTCACTCGAAGATATTCATTCACAACTTCGGACTTGAGATCTAAGGCAAACAATAGCTTTCCGCTTTCGGCTTTAAATCTCAGTTCTTACTCTCAAAACTTTAGGTCGGCTTTTTTTTTCTGACGACCTAAAATCTCTGTACTCTTCGAGCTCCCACTAATTAATAAAAAACTATATCTTTTCCCCTACAAATCTTTATATTCTCTTTAAGGGTGATATCCAGATCTTACAGTTGGTGCCGTTTGTGGAGAATAAAAGATATAAGTTCACCTACTCACACCAGAACTCGAAGATGGCTACGGAAAAACAATCCACCGACAATACCATCGTCCAACCGCCCGTCCTCAATCCTCAGCAGGTCGGGGACAACTCCAACACATAACAGATCGGGTTGGGCTCCAGCACCCTAGAGCCCGGTGGAAGCTCTAACGTTAAACAGCACGGGACCCCTAATGAAACCGATCCTCCAACCGCCCAGGGCCCTCTCAACACGACGAGCATACTCCTGCCCCCTCCACCTCCACCCGCAGCAACAGATATCACCGCCATCCTGCAGTCCTTCATGGCACATATGGACAATAAGCTGAACGCGCAGATCAGAGCTATCAAAGCTCAGCAGGTCGCATACCTCGGAACCCTACGCGAACCCCGACCTGACACTCCACCATGAGACGCATACGAAACCAAGACCGGCACTTCCAGAGCTGTCCGCATACCCCCGAGCACCACCGCGTCGGGAGCTAAACGCCTCATCTTCGGCAAAACACATACTTCAGCACGAGGAAGCGAGGATCAACACGCTAAGGATTCCAGTACCCGATCTAAGCACAAGTCCCGCCTGCCCGCCCTGGACTCCACCTCCGAACAGACCCCTGAGCTCGCCGAGCTAACCTGTCTACACCAGAGGATCAACGAAATCAAGTCCCAAGTTCATCATGCGACTAGCTCGGCCCCCGAGCTCAAACAAGTCCTGAAGCTCACTCAGCAAACACCGTTCGCTGAATGCATCACCCGCGTGCCTCTACGCGACACCGTAAAGCTCAAACTCCCAGCATCGTTCGTCGGCAACACATACCTGCAGAAACATCTCATGACCTTCGACAACGCCATGAACCGCGCCCGGTTCTCACCCGAGGAACACGACGCTTCCCTCTGCCAGTACTTCGTGGAATCCCTTGCTGGGAATGCACTCCAGTGGTTTTCCAAGCTCAAACCAAACTTTATCAAGACATTCTCTCAGCTCTCCCTGAAGTTTCTCCAACACTACTCTATGTACATCGAGCGAGGGGCAAACACCTCCGAACTCTGCATCCAGGGCGAAAAGAAAACCCTCTGTGATTACATCGGCCACTTCCGCACTGTCGTCTCCTGATGTGACCCAACGGACGATAACCCCATAATAGCGCTCAAACTCAACCTTCGCAAGAATCAGAAGTTCTATGACAAGATTGCAACTGGCAAAACTCAATCCCTCGATGAACTCCTTCACAAAGCCACCAAATTCATGAACGTGGAGGACACACAAGCCAGAGAGGACGAAAAACTCGCAGCAAAGAAGAAATCAACAAGCTCCCGACCTAAAAAAGATGAGTATCAGGAACCTCGCCAGCACTATGATCGTGACGACAAGGCTCGTAGAACCAACGTCTCTGCCATCACCCGACCCCCAATGGAACAAGTGGGACCGCACCACGAGCAGCGCCTCCGGGTTGCAACCATATTGCACCAGGCACAAACGCTCCGATCACGACGATCTCGAATGCCACCACCTCAGAGAACTCCTCTACCAACACTGGTGGGACGGCAAAATCAAACTGGAAGAACGACCACGCGGCGAATACCCAGCACGCCGACCCCATACTGATCAACCTCGCCCGCGAGGCGATGACCGACGCGCCCCCGCGCCACAAGAACAGGCCCGTCCTGACGAGAATCCCAAGCGCGCATGGGAAGACTCGCCTCCGCCACCACACTCCTCCCATCACCCCGACGCCAGATCAACATGATCATGGGCGGCCTCCTTACTTGCAACGACTCCATCAACTCCATAAAAAAAAATGAACGCCGCACCGCGTACGCTAAGAAGGGAACACCGTGCTATGACGATTCCCTGCCCATTACCTTCACGGAGGCCGACGCTGAAGGCCTCGACCGACCACATAATGACCCTCTCGTTATCTCCCTACGCATCGGGGATGACGACGTCTCGAAGATTCTGATCGACACTGGCATTCCGTTAACTTAATATTCAAGACCACCCTGATTCAGATGGGGATCATTGACAGTCAGATCAAGGTTGCCCCCAAGGCACTTACAGGCTTCGCTAGCGACTCCACCTCTACTATCAGCACAATCAAACTACCCATCTGAAGGAGGCATCATCACCACGGTCAAGTTCGACGTCATCGACAAACTGGCCATTTACAACGTCATCCTCGGGACACCGTGGATCAGTGCCATGAGGGCTATCCCTTCACCGTATCATCAATGTCTCAAGTACCCAGGCAGAAAGAGAATCGTCACGATCAATGGCGATCAGTGCGAATCCCGATCTTGCTTCATCGCTGAACAACGCGTCCGACACGTATCTATATTTTTTATCGATAGTCTGGATCCCCGACTCATGCACCATGACAAGCCAAAGAACGACCTAGTCCTATAAGTTAACATCGACATTAAGCATCCCGAACGTTGCATCAGGATCGGATCCGAGATTCTCTCGAGCATGCGTGTTGACCTCATCGCCTTCCTCCGCGAGAACGTCTGTACCTTCGCTTGGTCTATGGCTGATATCACAGGAATCAGCCCAGACATCACTAGCCACGAGCTGAACATTGACGTCAATTTCAAACCAATTA